ACCAATGTTTTTTATTGTGCTTGACGAAATGCCAGGTGGTACCGAACGCGAAAGTTCAGTTGTAAACACCAAATTGAGTCAATATAAAAGTGAGGTCACAGATAGTGTTCATACATCTCCGAAAGAAATGGAAGGTCTGTCGGATGCGATAATGGAGGAGGTAACAGGTGTCACAGTAACGCCGAATGAAGTAACAACGAATTGTTTAACGAACACGGAGGCGAATGATCCAGTAGACACGAAAATAGATGCCTCTGGAGATGTTATAATGCTAGATTCATTGGAAGAAAAGACTGGCGATTCGGTACTAGGGTCAAAATGTGATCGAGTGGGTGTAATCGCGAACGGTCCCAATGGTATGGTAGCAGATGGCTCGCTTGACAAATCGACTGATAATTCAGAAATAGAATCAAAAAGCAATTCCGTAGATGTATCGAAGGATGAATTGATAGAAAAAGTGACAATGGGAGATACAACTAGTAAGCCGCCTGATAGTTCAGAAGAAGCATTAAAGAATCATTCGGTAAATGATTTGATGAACAAATCAGAGTCAGAAATGTTAGTGGAAAAGTTAACGAATACGAACATTAGGGAATTATCAGGTGTGACAGCGGATGATAATACGGACTCGAATGTACAACATTCATATAACAAGTCTACCGATGAACCAGAAGTGGCAAAAGATAGTCCTACAGATACGGCGGCGGATAGTCCTGATGGTATAACTATTAAGGATACATGTGACAATCAAGTTGATAATTCGGAGATAACGTCAAAGGATAGCTCAGCGGAGGCAATCGAACCCACAGAAGAACCATCGAATACGTCAAAGAACGAACCTGACATCAAAGATTCATTGGGGGCGAATGATTTGCGGGAAGATTTGGGAAGTGCAACGGTAGACAGATCAATTGATGCAACCAACTCGGAAGGAGTTTTAAAAAATGATAGTAAGGACGTGAAGATAGGAGGTGAATCGGCAACATGCGGGTCGACGGATGCAGTGAGAGATAATTCAAAAGATGATTGTTCATCTGGTAAACCTAATGTAGAAATGCCTAGCGACAGCCATCAAGATGAGAGTGAAGATTGGAAAGGAAATATTAATAAGGAATTGAGCAATTCGGATCCCATTCACCAGGATAAATTAATAGACCAGAGTAAAAACCGGGAAGAAAAGGAAGTAAGTAATAATTTAGTTAAGGTAAATGATTCAAGTACTAATTTAGTTAAACCGGATGCTGAGAGGGAAACGGATGAGGATTCGAAGTCGATAAAGGATAACGCACATCAGGTGTCACCGGAAGAAAGTGGATTAAAAGATGAAGGATCAGAGAGCACACAGGCCACACAACCAAGTCAAGGGAACTCGAATGATATACCGACCGGAGTAACCTTTATAGACCTCACCTCCGATGACGATAGAGATGATATTATAACGGTGATATCGTGGTCCTCAATGGATGCCAATGTAGACGAAGACGATCCACCGTCACTGGACGATTTAGCTGTTTTCGATGAGATGTCGGCGGAGGCCGATGAATTGGAAGAGGATGACATAGATGACGGAGATGTGAGAAAAAGTGAGGATTTTGAGGAAAAGGGATTTAAAATTGATAATTTGATAAAGGGTATGAGTGCTGGTACGATGATTAGTTTGATTGATAGTGTTATGCCGTTGAACAAGGGGAAAAAACATTTGTACTCTAGGAAAAGTGCTCGTTAGAAGATTAAGGCTTACCGTGTACACTGTCTAATGCATCAGTTTATTCAGAGAAATGCATATTCTGATTTTATCATAGAAAGATAAATTTTTTTTCCAACGCTTCTAAATAAAACGATCCTTACGCTTTTAAAAAACATAGAGATATAATAAACGACACGATAAATGAGCAATTAAGCGTGCTTTCTATGTAGCATCGATCCTACTTGAAAATTTAATAATGTCATGATTGAACCGCGAATTTTATTTTTTTGTTAGTGATCATTTCCATGCCTCTCGGAATGTATCGATCGGGTCGACTCGAATTCGATATGACGAGCGTTTAATATTCTTACTAAAGAGCTTACAATATTTAACCTGAAATTAGATAGAGCGATTTTTAGTTCAGATAACTGTTTGCTCTGTACCAGAAAGAAACGAGCAAAGGAGAATTTCGGGATCGTCAAGTGGACTTGGGCACCTATGACGTCTGCGGTGAAACCACATTCAAAGTCGGAAAACGGGAGTGCATGTTTCCTTTTTTGACATAATGAAGGCCGTGGAACAAATTCCAAATTCCAATTTTACCATAAACATTTTCACACGGACGGTAAAACAAAGAAAGGTGCTAGTGTAATTGCATTAGGAAGTTGCCATGGTATGGTATAATTACCAACACTGCTGCGTTATCCTAGCCATATATAATAGTAGTGGTACAGATCGACCACACATATGAAAGATCTTCAATTCCAAAATTGTAATAGAAGGGATTTTTTTTTTTTTAATAATAGCACGTACTGTGTTTCCGGAAGTTCGCTAATACGATCAATCCTATTCTGGCATTCTAGGATTCATGATCGGTTATTCTTGTTTCCCTCTATAACGAGGGCTACCATTTAAGCAACATATGCGTCTATTTATTTGTGTACGCGTGATCAGGTTCGAACATAATTTAAAAAGATCTATGGAAGCATAAATCCTAACGCGTTTCACATTTAATTACTTAAACATTTTTTACACATCATTATCGTCGAATTCCATATCAGAATGTTCTTAAATGAACGGAACAAAATTATCGCGAAATTTTGTTTTGTTTTGTTTTGCATTTTTTTTTTTTTTTAATGACAAAGTCAGAACACAAAATTTAAGGTTAATTATTGCACGCTGCAAGCCAAACGGCCAAATGCATTCGGGCATGATTATACAACAAGTTTGAATGAGAATGTGCAGTGATGGTAAAACGTGTGGCAATAATGGAGGGCGGTATGTATGCTCACCACTCCTTGCTAGAATAAGCCGAATTCTTTGTTCATACACGCTCCTTTTCTTCTTATCATAACCTTATCTTTCGTACGCACGGAAAAGAAACGGAACATGATGAACACGTTTCGCCGATTGTTTTTTTTATCTTTGTAATTAAAAATGACACATGCCGTTTTGAGTTAACGCCCATTTATCATTAGATGCGGTACTTCATCACAATAACAATTATCAATCATGAATCGTGAGCTCTGATCTCACATTTCACCCGAGAATTGTGATAAATGGAAAATTTATGTGTGCTGTAAGTAATTATCGAATGACGACCTCTTTAACCGGGATCGTTTTACATGCAAAGCGGACGAAGGTGTGACACGTGACACCAAGTCACACATCAAAATATTCCTCTTTATATCCCAACATGGCCTCATAATTTATGGTGGTGGTAGGTCAAATTTACGCCCATTTTTTTTTTTTTTTTGCAAGATTCATTTTTAGAGTTGAATGGCGTGCAAAAAACATTTCAGCGCTAACATTTCAAAGCCAAACCAATTACTGTAGTAATAATTCAACCGTCAAAAATAATATTTTAACCTTGATTGTAACAGGTTTACCATTTATGGAATATGTTTACATTATCATTATTTTTTATTGTTATTACTTTTTTATTGTTATTATTAATTTTTATTGTTAATATTTTTCTACTAACGCTAATTATTCATATGATCCCCTGGAATAATAATCTTGGGTAACTTACAATCGGCGTGTGCACCTTGAAACATGGTAAATCCGATCATTCGGAGAAAAAAAATTAGGTCTTACACCAGGGTGTTTGACCCTAAATAAACGTATTGTTTGTGTGTGCATATCTGGGGGTTCATCGATTTTCTCAGATTCATTTTATTTATTATGTAACATCACAGATTTTTTATTTTTATTTACTGTATTTTAACTAATGAATGAATGAATGAATGAATGTTGTGAAATCGAACAATAAAAAAGTGTACATATTTCGGCAGTGGGAATATAGTGTTATCTAAGTAAAAAGAAAATATGTATATAGTAAGGAATGATGTGTTATATACAAAATATTTATGAATACTGTGTGTGAAATATTTACGAAATGTGATTAATACGATAGTGGTAGAATTTATGCGAGATGATGGAGGGGGAGGGGGAGGGGGAGGGGGAGGAGGTGATGGTGATGAGTGTGGTGGATAAGCTAAGCTAAATGAATGCCGCAGATGAGTAATGATCGTAAGATGATCATGATGATGGAAAATGAATGAATGCATAAAATTAATTACGAAAACATAAAGTGAAGTAGTATCTATTTAAAGCTATAAAACAAAAATTTACAGGTTTTTTTTTATAGGAATATATTATATACGATAGATATGGAGAGATAAAGAGTAACTTATGGCCACAAAAAAGTGGCATCATTGAGTGCATAGAAAAAAATATGGAAAATGTGTGCCCTATTCTTTTTTCTTCATTGCCCAAAATCTATGAATTTTATCGAAACCTTTCCGTTCAACC